CCTGCTTCTTCGGACTCCTGGCATGCTGGAGGAGCTGGGACAGAACTAAAGGAGGGGAGACACTCTGGCTGACAGCCAGAGCATCTCTCTGGAGAACCAAGCCTCTGTGACTGCCAGTGCATGCTCCTATGGTATGCGCCACACCAATTGCTACATGCAGCCTTTTAATTTCAGCTGACACTGCAAATGTTCATTATCCCTGAAAATCAAAACCAGGTGTCCCAAGTTTGGTTTTCAAAATCATGAATTATTTTTGAAAAAAACTTAGATGTATGGTACTATATTTACCCAAATCCAAGATGACTTTGAATTTAAGATGACCCTCTAACAATCTGACCCTATTAATAATATCTCTAATTATTGCAGCGTCATCTTAAATATACCCCCCACTGTAGTGGAGAAAGAAGCGAGGGGAGGCAGGCAGAATGACCTCCCCTCCTGCCACTTGTCCCCTGCCCTCATTCATACCTGCCCCTCATCCCTTGATCCATTGCCTGTGCCTGCCCCTGTGCCATCCTTTGCTCCCTCATGCCTATAGCTGACCCCCTACCACCTGTCCCACCTGCCACTTGCTCCTCCTGTCACCTAACACCCACCCCACCCCGCAAGCCATTTACCTTCTGTGGCAGCTCTAGCACTGGCTTTGGCACAGTCAGAAGTAGTGGTTCAAACCCAGACCAGCCCAGCCTGGCCAGACAGAAGCAGTGGCAGCAGGTCTGGGCCTGATCTGGCTGCATCAGAGCCAGAGGCAAAGGTATGTGGTGGGGGAAGGACAAGGGCAGACAGCAAGGGGGTGTAGTAACCCCCCATACTTTCCTGAAGCCACACACCATGCACCCCCCACCAAACCCCATGCACCCCTTTTCTGCCACACAAGCCACCCTGACACAAAGAGGTGGCAGCACTGCTCCAGCTCCAGCCCCAAGCCCAGAGCCAGGGCCACAGCATCCACCTTCCCCCAGGCAGTACTCACATCCAAGACTAGGCTTTTTTCCCCCCATGTTGATTGGTGGGGGGAAAAAAACGTGTCTTGGATTCAAGTAATTTTCCACATGCAAAATAATCAGTATGAGCATTATGCATATCAGCAAAGTCCGAGGCATAAATAAAACTTCCAAATCATACATTCAACAGGCTGAGTATTCTCTGTAAGAACAATTGCCAAAATATAATTTTCATGATATAGGGGCTTACTCTGACTTGATGTAAATCAGGTTGACTCCACTGACTTCCCATTGAGCTATGGCAGTAAGTACTAGGTGAGCCCAAAAGACCAAAGCCTCCCAATAAACGTTTTACTCCCCACTGTATCTCCTGTGTGTGCAGTAGGTGGCAGTCTCAGAATTAGTTAGGTTAGTGTCAATTTATCCTGCTTTAGCACATCTGCAGACATAGTCACCTGTCTTATTCTTTTATTAAACTGTTCCCTGCTGTCTCTTGCTCCTATCATGTAAAATGAATGAAATCTAATGTCATTTAGCTCACACTACATACGTTTTTTACCACTTTGTATTTCGATGAACAATTAACATCTGCTTTCGTTGTTTTCAGTTCATTATGTAATTGGAGCAGGGTTTCATAGATTTAATTTTTAACTACATTGTAGAAAACTTATTTCAGGGCTTTCTCACGTATCTTTTTTCCTCTGTTAGAGAGGGAGATGTGGAATTAATTCAGGGTGATTGCCTTCTTCCAGAGAAAATCCCATGGGATGGGAGGAACCTTGGAAAGCTTCTGATCTCATCATGCTTTTCCCAAACCCATTCCCTATCCCTCCCTTTTCCTGCCTGACTGGGCTGGGGGGATGCGCACACATCCACACACTCACACAAGCACTCTCCCTTTCCACAAAAATATCTGTAAAGAATAGGATGGATGAGGGAAAGGATTAAAGAAACTGACCTTTCCTGCCAAGCAACGAGGACAGAACATGGAAGAGTTAATCTGTGCATGGATCTAAAAAGAGACATTAATTTGAGAAATTAGTTGATTTAATAATTTTTGCATTTTAATGCATTTCTAATTTCTTTTTGCATTTTTCTTTGTTAAATGTCTTATAATATAGTCATGTATATGTGTGTGCATGTGCCTATGGGTTTGAAATCTGTATATTTATGTATATGCATGCAGATACAAACACAGAAACCCAAACTAATGGAAGTTAGGAGCCTAAATACCATTAAAAAGCTGCACCCTGTGGTAGAATATCTTGATGCTGTGTTAAAATATTTATAAGTGTGCAAAATGTCTGGATCCTGGTCATCCTAAAGCCATATATGACATTAAAAATTATCTTAGAGGCAGTTTGTTTCATTAAAAGCCAATGGGCTTCTAAATATTCATTCCACCCACAACTCAGACTAGTTGTCAAATGCGGAGAGAGAGTAAGTAAACACATACACTGGGTAGGAAACTGTCTGCAGTGTCTGAGTAGTCTGGCATTTAGAGGAAGCACTTGTAAAATTCTTATTACAAAAGTTTTCAGTCATTTCTTCAACACTCATAATGCCAAATTCCTCCCCTGAAAAGCTTCAACAACCCAGTGCATATTCTCCATGCCAGAATACTATCAGGACCAGACTCACAGACTATTAAAAGAGGATACCAGTGCAGTCCATGTGTTTTCTTTGGCTAACTGCTCCCAGCCAGCTTCCCTTGGGGCAGAAGTGGCACTAAAAAGGATTAGGAGAAGCATGTCCGTGACCCACTCTAGTTCACGTTTTACTTCTGCTTGAAGTGGTGCAAGGGTGTATTTCCTGCCTGTACTACAGAGCTCCCAGAGGTAAAGTGTGCCGTACCAGAAGGATGCACACAGTGCCTACTAGATGCAGTGAATCCAGAAAGTTTCTTTCACAATTAATTTTGCCCTAAATACTTGTGGTCCTTTACACAAAGACCAGTAGCATAAAGTATTCTGAAAAATATGCTGCTGTTTAGGTCAGTTAAACCAGTTATGTCTAAAGCATTCCAAGGGGAAGAGAGGGTGGGAGAGATATCAAGAATATGAAATGGAGAAACAGCTAAAATTTAGAAATGAAATTGGCATAAAAACCCCTCCCTGGGCTGACTAGTATCTTCCTTATACGTGGCCCCATATTTCAGTTGAGATCATAACTGCATACTGCTGATTCAATAAAAAGAAAGGTTTGGTTGTTATATTGAGAAAAGAGAGGTTTTCCATCCTTTAGTCTGTTGAAATACTGTCGCTTCTATCACAAATGGAACTCCAAATTAAAGCCACATCCAGCTGTTCATTGCTGATTTGAATTCTGAGGAACATGTCCTACTCAGCATGCTTGGAAAAGCTCATGTAGGCACCGCTGTTTAATTGCTGGACTCCAGATGAAAGTGCCTCTAAGAACAGCATACAACCACTACCAATCTCTGGGATTCAAAAGGGATACAAATGGATTCAAATGAATAAAAATAGAACTATTCCCCCCTATGCTGTGGAAGTCACCAAAATTAAATGCAAAGTTCAGTAAGGAATCACCGTACCTGTCTCAAATGGTTCACAGTTTCCTTGGTGCACCTGATCATGTATTGGAGGTCAGGGGGACGGTATTAACTCTGTTTAAAAGAAGAAACCCAGAGCATGGATGTGACAAACATTGAGCTCTGTTTAGATTTGTATTTTAGTTGCCCTGATTATGGTGCATTTAGGTTTTCAGAATCCCAATCCAAAGAACATGGGCACGATGAGCTTTTATCCAGATGTATTAAAATCTCTTCTTTGGATCACTGCACTCCAAGGCTGGCTCTGCTCCAGCCCCTGCTCCGGGCCCCCCAGGGCGGTATGGAGGGGGGGCCACCCCCACACTCCTGTGGGATACTCCATGCTCCCCAGCAGCACAGTGATCATGAGCCACACCTGCTACCTCAAGGTATGTAGAAAAAACTTTTAAAGCTGTGTCTATGTCCAAGCAGCTGATTCTCCGAATCAGCATCGAATCTTCAGATTCAGCCAAATCAAATCAGGGACAGTGATCTGAATCAACCAATCAAATCACTGTTCCTGATTTGGGCCGAATCCAAATCTCAATCGAATAGGGCTTACTTCGCACACCCCTAGTGTTTGCACATGTGGATGTGCCCTCTAGCTGCATCCAAATGAACATGGATGTGGCATTGCAGACCCATCTGTGGCACGAAACACTGCACATGTAGGCATTCCCCATACTGCTACTTTGCAGCACGGAGGGGTTTCTTAAGCCTGAGAGATTCCAGGGTCAAAAAAATCCACACCAAAATAAAGCAGGGTGGTGCATATGGCAGCAGAGCACATCAGCCAAAATCAGAGCCTGGCCAGCCAGAACCATGTTCCAGCTGCCAGCCAGGAGACCTGCTTCATGAGTCCCATGGCTGCAGCTCTTCAAGGCCCCCAGGACCCCAGGTAAGGCCACTAAGGCCAACATATTTGCTGGCCCCAGCCCCCCTACCCCACCCAGGGTAACATACCATGTGCTGGAGTGCACGTGGCATGAGCGTTCCCTGTGGACAAGTAACAGTGACACAAGGTGTACCACTGTTATTTGACCCCAGGGAAACGCACGTTCCTGCTCATGAGGACATGGCCTATGTGTCCCTCTCTCATCCTCTCACTTGGGCCTCCTGGCAAACTTCCCTCCATGCTTCCTTCTAAATCTCATTGGCTCTACCATCCTTTTTCTCTTCTGTATATTTTCCAGAATCAACTTCTCAGAACCACCAATACTTAAAAAAATTATTAATAATAAATAAACAGATTGAGTCAATGTGTAAAGAAGAGCATGGCTGGCTGTGTCAAAGGTGACTGACAGGTCAAGGAGGTTGAGAATGGAGTCTTGGCTTTGAGTTTTGGCATCAAAGACTTTGGCAAGAGCATTTTCACCTCAATGTCAGGGAGTAAAAGCACAAGCAAAGGAAAATTAAGTTATATTTTGCCAATTTTCTTTTAGCAAAAATCAACAAAAGCCTGTGCAGAAAATAGCGAGGGCAGGAGGAGAGTTTGAAGGGCAAGTCAAAGGTTGCAAAGAGCCAACTGGGACTGCAGGCTCGGGATTCAATTAACTTGGAGAAGTAGGGTCATTTAGCCAAAAAAATAGCAGAACTGAAAGTAGGGAGATTAGATCTATAGTGGAGAAAGATCAATTGGCTGCAGGTTTCACACCACAATGTACAAGAAATGGATATCTGAGGTAAGCCATGATGCAGCTGGCAGAACACACCTTACAGCAAAAGAAAACTGGAAAAAAAACCAACCAACCAACACCACCTAAAAAAAAACAACACCCTCCCCCCCCCCACA